AAGGGCTTAAATCCCTGAGTCACCATGTGGAGGAGGGCTGTTTAAGAGAATGTCCCAACGTCTACACTGGCATTGTGTGAACAGTAATAACTCTTACTGTGCTAAGTCACTGAAAGTTGGGGATTGTTAGTTACAGAAGTTAGCCTGCCCTTTAAAAAAAAAAAAAACCCTAATATATATGTAAGAATTGAATCTATTTCAATAAAACATTTTCTCTTATTATCATACAAAAAAACTAGATAAATGTTTTTCAAGCTTGTGGTACATTTAGGATACTTTGATTCTACAGATACATTAACTAGTGTACATAAAATTTGCTTTGGAGAATCCTTAGAGGCACCTTAAAGGGTTAAGCAGTCAACCTCCAAAGGCACAACATGCCTGCGTGATGACTGATTCAGACCATAAGCTGTGCACACTAAGATTCAAGAGAAACAGGCACATGTTTCTACTGTGATCACCAAATCAGAAGCTACTTAGGGCAGACACCTGGATGTCACATGTTGGTTTCTGATAGAATTACATATCACACGAGCACCTCTGGATGGATTGCTCTAAGGTATATAACACTAGCCAGACTGATTTTTTTAAACGATGGTTAATCATCCTCCAAAGCAAAGCAAGGAAGGCCAGCTTCTGAAAAGACAAATGTAAAGTGAGCTCCTAATGAAGTGCTTGGAACACAAACATGACCTTTCCCTGCCAGCTCACCACAATAGCTGCATGCTTATCTCTCGGTTACCTGCTCATCTCACGCCTAGACCAGGGAACTGTGTTGCAAAAAGGATCCCTTCAGATATGGAGGACCAGGTATGTCCTAGGTAGGCCTTGACTAGTGGAAAATTTTTCTTAGCTTTTGAGGTCCAGGAGAGCCCATTGGTGAAGCTGATAGAATTTGAGAGGTAAAACATTTCTCAGATTGTTTCAATGACTTTCAGTCTTGGCTCAAAATGGATGTCACACTAGAACCATCTTTTGCTGATCAGTTAGTTCAGGGCCACATCAAACAAAATGGCATGGAATTTATTTAACATGCTAAAGAGGAAAGACTAGTACCTTACAAGCTAATGTTTAGTATACACAGTGACGTTTTAGATGCTGTGGTTTGAGCTATGATATCACCTGATCTTTTTTTATTTCAAGTGACCTTTTGAAGGTGGGCCTAATTTTTCTTTCCTTGAATGTAGACTCTACACAGTGACTGGCTTCTAAAGAATGGAATACGGAGGACGTGAAGGTGAGCTTTGAGATCAGGACTTGCTCTGGGGCAAGTCAGCTGCTCTGCTGTAAAAACGATCAAGCAGCCCCGCAGAGGGGTTGCTATGACATGTAACTGAGGCCCCGCACAAACAGACAGGGAACTGAGGCCTTCATGTGAGTGAGAGATCACAGCCATGTAGATGAACTATCTTGAACAGAATCATCCAACCCCAGTCAAGCCTTCAGATGACCGCAATCCTGGCTGACATCTTGACTGCAAACTCATGAGAGATCGTTTTGAGTTGCCCCCAAATTCCTGACCCACACAAACTGTGAGACAATGTTTGTTATCTTAAGCTGCTAATTTTTGGAGTAGTTTGTTATATAAAAACAGACAATTAATGGAGGGACCCTTTTCCAAGACCAACAGCTTTAGAGCTAGGACCCTCTTACGCACAAAACAAAGCATACAATACTGCATTTTAGTTAGAGAGGGGTGTGTGTCTGTGTGTGTGTGTGCAAGTGCAACATACATAAAGTGTACAACTTCATTGTGCAACTCAAGGAATTTTTGCCTATAGAGTATATACCCATATAACTACCACCTACGTTAAGATGTGAAACATTTACAAGAAATTCCTTCGTGTCCACAACCAGCCGAGAGCTCTTCCCAGGGATCACCACTTTTCTTTTCCTTTTTTTTTTTTTTTTTGCGACAGAGTCTTGTTCTTATCACCTAGGCTGGAATGCAATGGCATGATGTCAGCTCACTGCAATCTCCACCTCCCAGGTTCCCAGGTTCAAGTGATTCTCCAGCCTCAGCCTGCTGAGTAGCTGGTATTACAGGCAAGCACCACCACACTCTGCTAATTTTTTTGTATTTTTAGTAGAGATAGGGTTTCACCATGTTGGCCAGGCTGGTCTTGAACTCCTGACCTTGTGGTTCACCCACCTCGGCCTCCCAAAGGGCTGGGATTATAGGTGTGAGCCACCACACCCTGCCAATCTCTACTTTTCTAACTATTTAATATAACTATGGATTACTTGCCTGTTCCCAAACTCCATATAAATAGAATGTTTCAACCTGTACTCCTTAACATCTAGTTTCTTTCACTCATCATAATGAATTTAAAATCTATCCTGTTGTTACATGGTTCATTAGTTTGTTCCTTTCATTGCTAGGTAGTATTCCATTGTACAATTATGTTGAATTTACCTATTTCCCTATTGATAAACATTTGTGTTATTTCCAATTTGAGGCTATTATGAGTAGAAATATAAATTTTCTTACACCAGTCTCTTTGCAGACCTTTATGTTCAATATTCTTGGGTAAATTCTTAGGAGTGGAATTGACTGGTCACAGAGAATATTTTTAAATATCAGTTTTCCAAAATAGTTGTACTCTTTTAATATGCCCACTCAAAATAATTCTTTTTTTAAATTATTATTTAAAGCAACTCCAGTTTAAAAAGAAAGAAAAACAAAAGTTGGTCTTAATGAAAAATAAATGACAATGAATAAAGAGCTTCCTGAATTATTTGGAATAGTCAAGAAAACTCATGTGCAAGGTACAGAGCTATCTGACAGCAAATCCTCCAGGCAAATACTTTGATTTTGATCATTGGTTTGGAAATAATTTTAGCCACTTAGATCAAAGTTTTTCACAAAGATGAGTCAAGCAGCGGCCCAAATCCCAAGAGGAGAAGAATTTACATAAAGCGTCCTCCAGATGAGGTTTTCACTCTGTTAAAATCGATGACCCGAAGGGGAAAGGAAGCCTTCCCACGTGGCACCCTTGTTTACCGGGCCAGCCCAGAGCTGTGACAAATGAAGCGACGTCTTGACACCTAACGCAGCTCGCCTGCAGGCTCTGATTTGGCTTTGTGTTTCCCCTGAGTTCTGCTTCAAATAAACAGATCAGGGAAGTTTATTAATGATGCACTCTGGGGCATCAGGCCGTGATAGGCAGCAGGCTGCACTCAGCCCCAGTGGCCAGTCTGCAGCCTTCACAGGAGGCAGCTCTAAGTCCTGCCTGTTTCCGAGACACCCTGATACCCACGGTGATGCTTTCGTTGGTTGTAACGGAGTTAAGGAGGAAGAAAGGAAGACTGGAAAGCCAGAATAGCAACTCCAATCTCAGCAACTTCAGGGGGACGCTCAGAGATGCTCAATGCAATGTTTTCCTATTTGGAAAATTTCAAAACTGGCAACAACCTACATGCCCCAAAATAGGAAATGGTTAAATAAAAGCCCCTCTTCCTCCTGCAGACAATAGGGATCATTGTGTTTGAGAGCAGAGAGATTATACAATGAGGCCTTAGAAAAATCCTGAGGCAGCGGTGGACTGAGCACAGGGTAGAGGTAGGGTGGGGGGAGCACCAGATTCAGAGGGCTCTAAGCACATCATGGGCAATTATTTCCAGATCACTCAGGAATAAAGCAATGCAAACCAATGAAATTCTTATGATTTTCATTGTTAGTAAGTGCCCTAGCTTCCAGAAGGAAAGGAGTAAGAAACTCCTTTTTTTTTAAGACAGGGTCTCACTTCCAAAGTCCAGGCTGGCTTGCAGTGGCACTATGACAGCTCACTGCAGCCTCAACTTCCTGAGCTCAGGTGATTCTCCCATCTCAGCCTCCTGAGTAGCTGGTATTACAGGTGTGTGCCAATATCCCCAGCTAATTTTTGTATTTTTAGTAGAGACAGAGTCTCACCATGTTGCCCAGGCTGGTCTCGAACTCCTGAGCTCAAACGATCAGCCTGCCTCAACTTTCCAAAGTGCTGAGATTTATAAGCATGAGTCACTGCACCTGGCTGAAACTGCATGTTTTTTGAGTAGCTACTGTGGGTCAAGCGCTGGATCAGGCACTCACCAAGTATCAATTGACTTAATCCCCACAATAGCTCTGTGAAGCAAGTGCCATGCTCCTCATTTCAAAGATGAGCTCTGCCTCAGGGAAGTTAAAAAAAAAACTTTCAGAAGTTCCCCCAACAGGAGAAAGAGTCAAGATTCAAAATCCAGTCGTTCTAGGCCAAGCCCTTGTTCTAGACTTTACTGACAGCAAATAAAGTTGAAAAGGAGTTTTTAAATGGGCAGCTGCTACCCTTAGCCACAGGCAGGATCCCCATACTCAGCTTGAGCAGAGAGATGGGCTTCCCCTCGAGTTCCCCTCTTAATAACGAAATGGCTCTCCACTGCCCAATTTTAGCTTGTTTTCCTAGGAAAAAGGTTGCATAAAACCCTCTTCCCATGAAAGCACCGCCTTCCTGAGCGTAGCGACCAGCCTCGAGCTTTACATGGCAGTGACTTTTCCTGCCGTCCCCATCCAAATTGGGGTGATGGCTTTCCTGCTACCGAACTCAATTTTCTAAGGCAAAGGAAAGCAACCCTGCCTTCTTCACTCCCTATCTAGAGATGCTTCCCCATCACTAGAGTCCTGGGGTTTTTATAAGCCACACAAACAACAATGCATTGCTTCAATTATTCTCTATGACATGTTTTGGGGTCTTCTTGATAACAGCAGATTGAAGCACATTTGGCTGGTTTGCCCTTATTAAACCGTGAAGGTCACTTCTCTTCCAGGGACTGTAATCAGCGAGCCCTCTCTTCTCTCCCACAAACGCATCTCTTCCAGAGCCTTTTGCAATTATGGCTCATTTCTCTAGGTTTCATGTGGCAGGCGTCTGAACAGAATTAAAAGCATGAGCACGTGCAAAAATAATCCGCTTCCCAAGATAGTAAATGCTGAGAAGTTCTATATTAGAACACACTGTGAGTGCTGACTGGCTAGGGCATGATTAACCTAATAGGCTTAAGCTCCACTTGCCATCCACATCTGTCAGGATGGGAGCAAAACACAGGCCTGTAATCCACCAGACTGGGGGCCTTCAGAATTGTCCCGCTGCTCACTAACAGCAGAGGATTCCAAACTTAGAACAACAACAGGATGACAGGTACCACTCCCTCTTCACGTTTGGGCCAAGAAAATACAGAAAGCTGGTTCCAAGTTTAGGATATTGTACCATGGACTTCAAAGGATTCTGGCCTGAAAATTGCCCGGAAGGACTAGTAAGATTGCCTTTTGTGTCTATTTCAAAGATGATTCTTGGAAAATTGTGAAGGCTGTGGGTGGAAGATGACTACAAGCTGAAATCATGGGCTGTACACCTTCACACAGTGACATTGTAAACAGCGTTGCAAAGAGTGGCATTCAGTTCTTGAAAAAACCCAAAGCCATTCGGCCAGGATGTCCAGGTGGCAATGAAAAGGGTTCCATCCCTCTGCTGGTTAAAAACTCCACCTGCTATGACACTGGGGAGGGCCTGGCAGAGGAGCAGCCAAGTTCCAGGAGGAACCAAACCACAGCTAAAGGTCTTTGTCAGCTCATGAGAGATCCTACTTCAGGCAAAAGGAAAGATATGGAAGGACTAATCCCAGGAACCAAAACCTCTTCATCCCAGCCCAACAAATCACAAAGCCACATGGCTAAAGACATTCTGTTCAAGAAACAGGGTTCCCATGGATCTCAAGGGGCAGAACTTTCTGGAGATGAGAGTGAGGAAAGTAGTACCCAAGATGCTTCCAAATGGAAAAGGACACCACAATGCCACATGTCAAGCACACAGAGCCACTGCCGCCAAACCATCCACCCTGCTCATGGGTCTGAAGGCAAAGTGGACTTCCCAGAGCCGCTGGTAAAGGCGCACCAGCACACTTATGCCTATCTACACTCCAGCCTCTCCAAATATGAAGCAATTCTGCGCATCATCCATCAGGCCACCCAGACCCGGGAGCTGCTGCAGCCCATGGTCAGCTTCCTGCTGCTGTGCTTTGAGGAGATCAGCCAGCTGTTGAGGGAGATCTCCAAGGATGGAGAAGTGCTCCTGCAGGAAGTTAGGGAGGATCTGGCTTGGCCTTTGAAGAAAAGGGAGCCCCAGGAGCAGCCAGACCTCCTGCAACAGCTGCTGCAGTACACAGTCAGCAAGCTGCAGGGGCTCAATGGCATGGTGGCCTCGCTCACCAGCAGCTTCCTGGAGGGCTCCAGCAGCTACCTCCACTCCACCGCAACCCACTTGGAAAATAAGCTGAGCACAAAAAAGAATGTGGATGAACACGTCCTGAGGGCTCTAGGGCAGCTAGAGAGCCTGGCGAGTGGCTGTGGCGACCCTGGAGTGCAGGGTCTCCCCTTATGCTCGGAGGACAGTGGCATTGGTGCTGACAATGAGTCCGTGCAGTCGGTGGACAAGCTGGGCAAGCAAACCAGCTGGGACCTTGCACCAGATCCCAAAGAATGGAAGTCAGTGACTTTGCCCCACACAGAGGCCAGGCAGTCAGGACACGCCTGGCAACAAAGTTCATTCTGTATGGGTTCAGACCGACCCCAGGACTGCCTGTTCTCAGGGGTTCCTATGGCAAAGGTTCAGCCACAAGCACAGGACAAAGCAAAGAGCCCTTGCCTCTCCAGTACAAGCCCAGAAAATATCACCTTCCTGCCTTTGGAGCTGGGGACAAGCACCCCAAGTGATTCATTTGGGATTGGGGTCCCTGTGGAAGCACATCTTTCCAAAACCTCCAGACTGATGGATGCTCCATCTCTTAGTGACAGCGAGGACAGCAGCTCAGAGGAAGAGGAAGAAGAAATGAGCAGCATGAGTGTGTGTGCATGGCAAGTAAAATCTCCGGATTCGAGGCCGCGATCTTCACCTGCTGACCGGGAAAGCCCATTTCAGTCCCACTCCAGGAGGCTTAGGAGCCCCCAGGCCCAGGAAATGATTCTGAAGATGAAGAAAGCAATCAGCGAAAGGATCAAGTTTGTTCCTGTGCCCTCTGGGCACCAGGACTGGTCGGAGGAGGAGGAGGGGAGAACAGCGGTCCCCCCAAGACCTAGCACGGTCAGTGGCAGCAGGAGGGCCCCCGAAAGGCAGGGGAGGTCCCAGTCAGAGCCGTGTCTCCAGAGTCACGTGGAGGACCCCACCCTTCAGGAGCTGCAAAGGGTCCAGAGGGACCTCAGTCAGAAGCTGGAGGCATTTTATGCCCTGGGCACTAAAGGGCAGGGGCAGAGCCAGGAGCAGATTCCGCAGCCCAGAGCAGCAGCCGGGTGGCCCAATGGCACCTGCAGGGTCGGTCCAAGCAACACCACCAGCAGGCTCAAGGCATCCCTCACCAAGAACTTCAGTATTTTGCCTAGTCAGGACAAGAGCATCTTGCAGAAATGTAGTCCCCATCCTGAGGACAAACAGGGCACAACTGAGAAGCTTCCAGATGCCACCCTATCGGGAGAGGTCAGTGAGGCTGCCGGGGCCAAGGACTGGAATGTCAGGGCCTGTCCCACCAGAACATCCGTCAAGAAGCTCATTGAAACTTTCAGTCCCACAGAGAGTCTGAGGATGCTGGGGGACTCCAAGGACTCTGAGGAAAGTCCCTACCTCAGGAATAGCATCATGCCCCCCAGATTTCCCATGTCCAGGGGGCTTGCCCCTTTGTATCCAAAGCCCCAAATTTCTCCAGCCTCAGGCAGAGAATCTCTCAAAATGGGCATAGGCTGGAAGCCCTTAGCACCTATCTTTCCCCCTCTGCCTAAAGCAGAAGCAGCCAAGAGTGAGGAACTCAGCTGTGAAGTGGAGGGGAACCCTGAGCACCTCCCTCCACCACCCCTGGAAGTCCTGATGGACAAATCGTTTACTTCTCTGGAGTCCCAAGAAATCAGCAAGTCCACAGAGAGCTCTCCCGAGGAAACCCAGGAACCAGGGCCGGTTGAGGCAGGCCCCACCAGGAGAACATGGGCTTCCCCAAAGCTGAGGGCCTCTGTGAGCCCCCCGGACTTGCTGCCCAGCAAGAGCACCGCCAGCCCCACCAAGCCTCGCAGCACAGAACCAGGGAGTAGCAAGAGCAGCTGCCAGCCCAGGAAGCCAGCCCTGGACCTGAGCCACCCACCAGCCACCAGCCGCAGCCCAGAGGTGAAGGGTGGGACTTCGAGTCAGACAGAGAAAGCCACCAGCCTCTACAGGCAGCCCCGGAAGGCAATTGCCTGGCACCACTCCAGCCCTCCATCTGGACAGAACAGGACCTCAGAGTCCAGCCTGGTCAGACTGAGGCAGAGCCGAGAGAGAAGCCCCCCGATGGGCAGAAAGGCCTCTCCCACGAGGACACACTGGGTGCCCCAAGCAGAGAAGAGGCGCCGGAGCCTGCCCTCCTCTTACAGACCTGCCCAGCCAGGCCCCTCTGCTATGCAGACACCCCCCAGCCCACCACTCTGCCCTGGAGCTCCCAGCCCACTGGTGAGCCCCAGGGTGCTAAGCCCACCAAACGCAAAGCGGCGAACGTCCCCACCGTGCCAGCCCAAGCTGCCAAGCCCTCCCCCGGAGAGCCCACCCGCTCAGTGCAGGGTCTCCAGCCCTCCGACCCAACGCCCAGAAGCAAGCGGCCTTTCCTCAGTTCCCTCTCCATCACCCGCAATGTCCCTGTCTCAGGGGCACAAGGAAACAAGAGACTCTGAAGACAGCCAAGCAGTCATAGCCAAAGTGTCTGGGAACACACATTCCATATTCTGCCCAGCCACCTCCTCTCTGTTTGAAGCTAAATCACCACTCTCAACAGCCCACCCACTGACCCCGGCAGAGGCTGGGGGCCCTTTTGGGAACCCAGCAGGGTGCTGGAGGAGCAGCTCAGGGCCTTGGCTGAGAGCAGACTCACAGCGGAGAGCAGCTCTGTGTGCCCTCAACCCTCTGCCTTTCCTCAGGAGGACAGCTTCTGACCGCCAGCCGGGTGCCCGCCTGCAGCCTCCCGACCCCACCAGCACCTCCTGTGAATCCCAGCTCGGCCAAAGCAGGTAAGGAGTGTCCTGGGCTCACCAACCTTCAGCGGCTTGGAATAGAGAGGAACGGAGCGAATGGGCCTCGGGATCTTCTGGGTCCGTGGTTTTCAGACTGCGCTCCAAGAGGCAGTTGCGAAAAAGAGGTGTGGGGGGCAGTTCCAGCTCCCCCACTCTCCAAGCTTGAGTTTACTGTAATCTGTTATGCATTCCAGTTTCCTGTGAAAGATTTTAATTGAAAAGAGGCCCCGCTGTGTTAAAAAGTAAAATTCAAATGAGAACACCTGGACACAGGAAGGGCACACACCTGGGCCTGCCGGGGGTGGGGGGCGAGGGGAGAGAGAGCCTTAGGACAAATAGCAAATGCGTGCGGGGCTTCAGACCTAGATGACGCTTGATAGGTGCAGCAAACCACCATGAAACATATATACCTACGTAACAAACGTGTACGTTCTGCACATGTATCCCAGAACTTAAAGTAAAAAAAAAAAGAAATATATCAAAAAATAAAATAATAAAGTTCAAAACATTCCAGTTAGTTCAGCCCCGCATATCTCATGTTTTACAGTGGGGTAAACTCAGATGAAAAGGCCTGCCCCTGGGGCTGGCTCTCGGCCTCCCTGTTTCTGACTCACTGCAGGAAACCAGCATCTAGTTGGAAGGTTCTCAAACGATTTGGTCCCAGCACACCTTTAAACCTTTAAAATTATTAGGAGCCCAAAAGAGCCTTTACGTGTGGAGGCTGTACCTATCAATGTTTGCTGTAGTGGAAGTTAAAACTGAGAAATATGTAAAATATTTATTATTTTTTAAAGAAACATTACATGTTAACACAAGTAATATGCTCTTAGAAAAAGTGTACATTTTCTTTTCTTTTGTCTACTTTTTTTTAAAGCTTTTATGTTAGGTTCATGGGTACATATATAGGTTTGTCCTATGGGTAAACTTGTGTTACCGTGGTTTATTGTACAGATTATTTCATCATCCAGGTGATCACGACCCAATAGTCATTTTTTTTTTGGCTCCTCTTCCTCCTCCCACCCTCCACCCTCAAGTAGGCCCCTGCTAAGGATAATTAATGGCCTCTAACTCCAACCATGTTCCTGAAAAGTCATGATCTTGTTCTTTGTTGTGGCTGCATAGTACTCCATGGTGTATATGTATTGCATTTTCTTTATCCAGTCTGTCACTGATGGGGCATTTGGGTTGATTCCACGTCTTTGCTATTGTGAACAGTGCTGCAGTGTACATCCACATGCATATGTCTTTTTTTTTTTTTTTTGAAGAACGAGAGAAAGAAAAAGAATTAAAAAAAAAAGAATAAAGGAAAGGAAGAAAGAGGAAGAGGAAGAGGGAGAGAGAACAGGGGTGTTGCTTTATTGCCTGGGCTAGAATGCAGTCTAAAACTGGGTATGCCTGTATTTTGTGTTTAATAATAGAGACATAAAAAAAAAAAATGAGGGAAGAAAATAATTAACAAGCAGCTAACCAATATTTCACTTAAACCTGTAAATACGCGTGATGTAGTACTGATGAGAGTGTATATTTTGTGCATTAAAGTAGAGAGTTCTATGAATGTTAATTAAGTCTACTTGTTCCAGATCTGAGTTCAAATCCTGGATATCGATGTTAACATTCTGTCTCATTGATCTATCTAATATTGATGTTGAAGTCTCCCACTATTATTGTGTGGGAGTCCAAGTCTCTTTATAAGTCTTACATATCTGGGTATTTCTGTATTGGTGCATATATGTTTAGGATCTTTAGCTCTTCTTGTTACATTGATCCTTTTATCTTTATGTAATATCCTTCTTTGCTTCTTTTGATCTTTGTTGCTTTGAAATCTATTTTATCAGCAAAAATTGCAACTCCTGCTTTCTATTTATTTATTTTAGCTCTCCATTTGGTTGGTAAATTTTTCACCATCCCTTTGTTTTGAGTCTTTATGTATCCTTGCATGTGAGATGGATCTGGATGTAGCATACCAATGGGTCTTGGCTTTTTTTGCCTGTCTGTGTCTTTGGATTGGGGGATTTAGTCGATTTAAATTTAGAATTAATAACAATATATGTGTGTTTGATACTGTCATTTAATGTTAGCTGGCTGTTTTGCCCATTAGTTGATGCAATTTCTTAATTATGTTGATGTTCTTTATTTTTTGATATTTTTTAGAAAGGCTGATACTGGTTGTTCCTTTCTATTTGTAGTGGTTCTTTCAGAAGCTCTTGTAAAGCAGGCCTGGTGGTGATGAAATCTCTGAGTGCTTGCTTGTTCACAAAAGATTTTATTTTTCCTTCGCTTATGAAGCTTAGTTTGGCTGGATGTAAAATTCTGGGTTGAAAGTTCTTTTCTTTAAGGATGTTGAATATTGGCCCCCACTCTCTTCTGGCTTGTAGGGTTTCTGCTGAGAGATCTGCTGTGAGTCTGATGGGCTTCCCTTTATGGGTAACCTGACCTTTCTCTCTGGCTGCCCTCAGTATTTTCTCTTTCGTTTCAACCCTGGTGAATCTGGAGATTATGTGCCTTGAGGTTGGTCTTCTGAGGAATATTTTTGTGGTGTTCTCTGTATTTCCTGGAGTTGAATATTGTCCTGCCTTGCTAGGTTAGGAAAGTTTTCCTGAATAATATCCTGAAGCGTATTTTCCAGCTTGGATTGATTCTCTTCGTCACATTCAGATACACCTATCAAACGTAGATTAGGTCTTTTCACATGCATATGTCTTTACAAAAAGAGTATTTTCTACAACAAAAAATTTAGGGAAAAGAGTAGCACTGTCTTACATTTTTCAAATCTCTTTAGCATCTGGCTTAACATGAAGAGATAACTGGATTCTCAGCTCTGTTTCCATAGTCAGTCTGTTGGGATCTCACACGTCATGTAGCAGACTCTGGGATCTCTACCCTACATTCACAAGAGAATGAGTGAGAAGGAGAAGTGACATCTTAGTATCATGATGAAAATAGTTTTGACCTCATGGGTCAAATAAATAGTTTTGACCTATTAGTGTATCGGGAATAACCACGGGTCCCCAGACCACACTTTGAGAACGGCTAGTCCTGGAGGCATGGAATATAAATGTGTGGCTTCCTGTAACCCGAGGACCTGGCTCCACTTCTCCTCTAACTTCAAAAGTTCATATAGTGAGGACAAGAGTATTCATGAGTGCCGAGTACGAGAATCCAGGGAGGGAGCTGCTACCTCCCCCGGGGCAGGCTGAGTTCCAAGTGTGCCTTTCTCATCAGGGAACAGATGTGCACGCCCTTGGCCCAGCCTTGCTGACAGTCCCAGACATGCAGCCGCAATGGGGCACGAGTCAAAGTACGGCCATCGCATGAGGACTGCAAGAACTCGGATGCTCCAGTGGTTATTTTACAGAATACATGGAGAAATGTACCTTTTCTCAAACTATGATGTAGAAACAAAAAAATACCTGAAGTCTATTAGAGAAGAACTCTTATCAATGCGTCTTGATATCAGATCAGACAAAGCTCAGCTACCATCCGTCCTTGCTATCTGTGTAGAGCCTACGACTGTGCAAATCAGCAGTTAAATTTCTGCCAGTGATATGTGTTGCAGACTTCACGATCTGTCCAGGCACAAATGGTAATTTTTTACAAAGTCCTCGGCAGTCAATTTTAAATAAAGATATTATCTCGGGAAAGTTGTGCACTATTACAGTTAGATAAACTTCCCCAGCCACTTGAAAGAAATGAAATATTGATTATTTTTGCAAGAATCTTAATGTAACATTGCTCTTTTCTTAAATCTAAAATGAGCTTCCTACAGTACAGTGGTTTTCATCTAAGAAGCTCTGTAAATGTTAATGCATTATTCCTCACTCCAGCCACTTATTCAGTTATTAGATTTCAAAAACTGTGCCCTTCAGGGGAAGAGCTTGAGAGAACAGGCACAATAAAATGACATTAAGTAAAAACACTAACATTTTAAAACAGCAGGAACAATAATAAAGTAACATAAAATTGTTCAAGAAGAAAATAATGCCCTTCTCCCAGGCTTCTCCTCAGAATAGGGCAGCCCAAAGGTTGTTTTATGTCCTGAATCTCAATAATTGGGGCAGAGGTGGTGGGGAGGAGACAGTGGCTTGAAAGATGAAGGACAGCCAGGCACAGTGACTAACACGTGTAATCCCAGCACTTTGGGAGGCCAAGGTGGGTTGATTACCTGAGGTCAGGAATTTGAGAGGAGCCTGGCCAGTATGGTGGAACCCCATCTCTACTAAAAGTACAAAAATTAGCCGGGCATGGTGGCACACGCCTATAGTCCCAGCTACTCAGGAGGCTGAGGCACAAGAATCACTTGAACCTGGGAGGCGGCGGTTACGGTGAGCCAAGATTGTACCCTTGCACTGCAGCCTGAGTGACAGAACGAGACTCCATCTCAAGAAGAAAGAAAGAGAGAGAGAGGAGAGTTCATAAACAGGAGGCTCCCCAGGGTCATGTGGAAGTTTATATAATAACTCACAACCATTCCCCTGCCTCTTATACCACCACACAGCTCTAAGCCTTTCCACACTGTGATGGGAAAGTGCTCATTCCCCAGCAACCCTGTCTCCAGGCATAAAGCTGGCATCTGGGAGCAGAAACGCACGTGCTGTAAACACACCAAGCCTTTGCCACCCTATGGATGGCAAGCATTTTTTTCTGCCATCCTGCATCTGGGGAAACAACACCAGGAACTGGGCACATGATTTCCCCCGAGATCATGCAACAAGCCAGTGCCAGAGAGCTAGAGACTGAGAACGGGCTGTTTCCCCAGGCAGGGACATGCACATGCAGGGACACAGGCACAGCCACGATATCTTGCAGTGGAGGTAGGCTGCAGACTGAACCAGCCTGCCCTTCCAGACACCCCATGCTAGGCAGGAGCCCCCTTTGTAGAAAAATGGATGATGTTTCTATCTCCTGATCTCGGGGCCCTGGGGATTGGGAACAGGCCTTGGAGGCTTACCCAGGAAGCTCAATTACTGAGCGTCTACTGCTACTTATGTGCCAAATCCCCTAGCGGGGGTGCCAGCCTCTAGGTCTCAGGATGTTGGGGCACTATGTGCATTCGAGAAGGCTCCAGACTTTCTCCCCTCAATGCTATGCTTTCAGTCCTTGCCTGACCGGACTGCTCAGGCATGTGCACTCTGCCGCCTTTACTCAGCCACCTGGATCACGCTGCCCAGTGGGCCCTGGGCCCTGAACACCTGTAGGCACCTGTGATGGGGCCAGAGGCCAACTCCGATGAGACTGTCTCCATGGCACAGTGAGCTGGGGTCCTTCCTGTGTGACAATCGTAGTTGTGTGCTGTCCTGGCGCCCACCTCACTTACCCGCCACTCCCACCACCCACCTTGATTTTGTTCAGGTCCAAATGCAAACGTATTCTCCACTGGTTTGGCATCCCACGTAAGTCTAACCTCACAGAGCTGAGCACACTGCACAACAAAGCTCACAGATCGGGCAAGAATGTGCGGTCATGGGCAGAGAGAAGGCCTTCTTGCCTGTGCATGTGGGGACCCAGGGTCCTGTCCTGGCCCTGAGGCGACAGATTGAGAGTTCGGACCAAGACCCCAGAGTCTCTGTGGGATAATAGTGTGGTCACTAGAGCCCTTTCCTAGTGTCACTTCCTATTCATTCAACAATGTGGCACCACAGTATCACCACCCCCCATGGAGCACTTATGCTATTAATACAATAGTATGCCAAAGGTCATCCATGCTTCACCCAGTATTGATACCTATGAGTGCCTGATGAGATGGCCACTATTATTACTTCCATTTTATAAGGAAGGAAGCTAACACGCAGAGGAATGAACTAACATGCCACAGGGGACCCAGCCAGTAAGCCAGAGAGTCAGGACTTGAACCCAGGCAGGTAGCCTCTAATTTCCCGCAGGGAGCCTCAGGCTGTCTTGCCAGCAGATGGCCAGGGTGGCTTCCTGGGCTGGTCCCCTGCTAGCCTCAGCCTGCTCCCCCCTGGGGGCCACCCTCCATTCTGCACTCCCATGCATGCCAAATCCTTTGGAGGTCCCCTCCCCATGCAAAGCCCCTCCTAGCTGTGTCACTCCGCAGCTGGGAAGCTCTGTTCTAGCCAAATTCGGGGCCTGGCTGGGCCAAGCGGCTTGCATTTTTCTCTATTCAGGGAGAGGGTGGCAGCTGCGAGAAGCTGGTTTTTTTCCTTGTTGTTGTTGTTGTCTTTAATTCAACTGGCTAAGCTTAGCCCTTATTAAACAAAGTGCTTTAAAAACGAAAACAAAACAAAGGCCCAGCTCCCAGAGCTTCTGAGAGAGTTGCTTTGTTCAGAGCAGCAGGATCCAGGGCTTCAGGGGAAAGAACAGGACTCAGCCTGTCACCCCAGTGCCCGCAGCACCCACCCCTACAGACACATGGCAACGGCAGCACCAGCCCCACAAGCCTGGTACAGACGTCAGAGGCCTGGCCTCCAGGGTGCACGGGCCTGTGGGAGAGAGCTGGGGAGGGACAGAAAGGGAGAATGGAGAAAGGGGATGGGGTGGGAAAGAGCCGCAGAGGAGGAGTGTCTGACCTGCCCTTGTCCTTTCTCTCCGCAGCAGCAGCAGCGAAGAGAGCCCTAAGAAGGATGCAGAGCCAGGAAGCAGCCCCTGTGCCCCTGAATTACAGGGCAGCGGCAGGCAGGCATCTCCCCCAGAGTTCTGTGTGCTGGGCCACGGGCTTCAACCGGAGCCCCGCAACAGCCATATCCAGGACAAATCGCAGCCAGAGGCGCAGCCCCAACAGGAGGAGGTGTCCTGACAGGCTGACGAGGGGGCCACACTCATGCAGTCAGCCCAGAAGGCCAAGTGTGACAGCCAAGTGTCCAGCCTGACCCAGAGATGGTGGGCAAACCAAACTCCTACTGAGGCGTCCTGGAAAGGCTTGGAAGGGCCACTGCCCAGCGGGTCTGCTGACTTTTAAACAGTCACCGGTTTCAGTCCCAGATCCTGCTCTGCCTTGGAGTTCAAAGGTTCACCAGAACTTTAGAACCCACAATGACAGTATTTAATCCTTCAAGTGCTGGCCTTAATTTGTTGCATGCTTGATGGGGTTTTAACTGGGTTCGTTCCATGAGATCACTTAAGCCTCACAACAGGGAATGAAGCAGACAGCATCCTCTAGTTTTGCGCATATGAAAACCGAAGATGTGGAGAGGAGGCCCCTCTCAAGTGTCTTGCTGAAGGTCATAGAGCTAAGAAGATAATAGAGTGAAATTTTGCACAGATGAGTCTGGTGCTAGAATCTCTCTGCTCTTTTTATTACGTTCCATTGCCCATAGGTAGTGTGTCACTCCAGCTGCCTAAAGCAGACATGGGTGCACAAATGATCGGAAAGCTTTTTTGTTTTAAGATTAAGTAGTGCCACAGCACTGAAGTCTCCACTGAGAGCTTTGTTTGGACGTGCATGGCTCCCAAAATGAGAAGGCTGAGTGAGCTGGGATTAAAACATACAGCCCCACCCGCCCTCTGTCCTCTCCTCCTTCCCAAGCTGAGTTTCAATGTCATAAACTTAAAGCTGACAGCTCACAATACCAGCCACACTGACTCTCGGCCTAAGCGCGTTTCAAATGTTCTCACGGCCCTACGTGTTACGTGCTTCTCGACTGAGTAGGGTGAACCAAACCTCACAAACAGGCACCCCATTCTCCACATGCCTTGCGTGCTGGAGCTCAGAAGACAGCGTAGGTAAGGCAAATACACTTACATGCCAATCCCCCCTCGGAGGCTTCTTGGCCAACTTTCTTCCCAGGTCATCTTGCAGAACTTCTGCTGGAGTCAAAATCAAAGTGAAAAACAGTTGTTCATGCCAAAAACCTGCTTCTGCCAATGAGCTAGATATTTGCGGCAGATCTTGGAATGTTTCCACTGGAGGCTGTGGCATGCGTTCTATTTAGAAAAGATTTTGCAGTAATTGAGTGATTCAATGCCCGCTCAGTGGGTTGGCAAAAGACAAGGATTCTTACCCACTGGGGTACAGCTAAGGGACGATCCTCCAGATCTGCTGCAAAGCTGATTTTTTTAAGTTTGGGGAAATTATAGACCTCAAACCCATTCTTTCTAAAATAGATTGTGGGCTCAAAAACTTGTTAAACTGAGTCCCTAGGGACTACAGCGCCCTCCCCTAGAGAGAGGCTATGACTCTGAGTAAATGAATCCCACCTCAACTTGTCCAGTTATTATTCAAAGGCACTCAAAGAACAGCTGATGAAACTACCAAGAGGGGCCACAGCCCATCCCTCTGCTGGAAACGCACATACCCAGCTATCTGCTCACGTGTGCTCCTGTTGCCACCTCCATCTCAGAGCAGTGCTCAGGCAGTGCCCGGGCTGGCTGATGCTAAAGCCAAGCCACACCCACCTCTGGGTGGACACTTGAGAGCTGCCTGGGCTGCAGGCAATGCTGGGAAGTCCAGCCATCCCGGCAGGGCAGGGGCTGAGATAAGCACATGAGAATGAACCAGGTTCAGGTATCTTGCCCGATAAAGATCTGGGCATTCTCCCTAAACGATTGGGCAGGCAACCATTGGGTTACCATGGGGTGAGCCTTAGGTAGGCTGGGCACTGAGCTGAGTAAGCAGGAGAAACACAATGTGGGCAGCCTTTGAGGTCTAGCTCACAGGTAAGTGGCTTCAGGTGGGACTGCTCAGAAACCAGACCCTGCCTGGACTAGGATTTAGGGGCAGGATTCCTGGAGCTCCAAGGAAACCAAGCTGTTCCCCAGCTGCAGGGAGACTGGAGTGGGATACAGTGGGTGAAACTGGGGTGCCATAAGGGGGTGTGACCACAGGAATCATAAAAATTTTAGTTACTGGAACCAGGATATGAAGCAGAGCCAGACCAGCGGTGAGGGGAAGCAAGGCTGAGTCTCCAGCCCAGGCCTCCTTCTGTAAAGGGCCTCATCTTAGAAGTCCAGGGCTGGGTAGAAAGTGGAAAGGGTGGCCGAATGCCCGCCGCTGTGGCCATGCAGGCTAGCAGGGAAAGCAGGGAGCCAGCCAGAGGACTACACCACAGAAGGGGTCAGTGTCACGGAGATCACACAGGACGGTCCAGAATGAATGACTGATGCTTTCCATGAGCGTGCATGGCAGAAGGCTGAGACTGGAGGTTGCCCCTGAACAGGCTAGGCTGGTAAGCAGCAAGAAGTGCCCCCCATCATGTTACGGGTGGCAGATGAGGGGTTCAGGGCACCTTGGTTCCTGCCATCAGCTGGGGAGATGCCCATGATGCCTCCTTGTCCCTCTGGAAGACCTCCACATTTGCTTGGTGCCAACATGTGTCAGGACAGGGTGAAGCTCCTGCCATAGGACCCCACATGTCATGTCATAAGAGCCCCCAGCTGCCACCAGACCTAGGCAGCAGGGACAGTGAGCTGGTGACACCATTGTGTTACCCAGTGACCCAAGACTACTGGAATTCCAAGTCAGCTTCCCCCACTCCAGGGAAGACAGGGAGGGGTTGCCAAGGGGCTGGGGGCTGGGGGTCAATGAGGTCAAAGGCGAAGCAGTGCCAAGCCGGCATAGGAGCAGGTGGGTCAAAGATGTGTTTTTGGCTACCATACCAACTACCAGACTTAGCTCAAATTACACATTAGACTTTGTACAAAAGAAATTAAATCCACAACGGAACGGTTTCGTGGCATCTGCTCAGTTTTGCCCCTCCTAGAGACCAGGCCTTCCACAAACTTGAGTCTGCCTTGGAGCACACATTGCTGGTGGCAGAAGGGGGCAAACCCAGCTGCACAGTCTCAGATGTGCTGCTCACGCCCGCCCTCTCCCTGCCACCCAAGAAGGGTATCCTTGCTACGCCAAATCCACTTCCTTTGCCCAAGGGAGAAGGGAGGACAGTTTTTCTTTGTTCTGCCTTTTGTTTTGGGGTTTTAAAAAAAAATTCTTATTAAGCCAATGGACCCAACTCATTGAAGACCCATGAGTCTGCACTTTTTCTTCATAGAGTTAGAAACCAAGGACCGTTGGGGATACACACAAGGAGGAACCCACCGCAGATCAAGCTAAGGGGCGCATATCACACCCATCTTCTTCCTCAGCCAGCTCCACTCTGGAGGAGCACAACCTTCATCCTCCTGACCGTGGAGGCCCCAGAGCTGTGAAGAGGGAGGTACTGAGCCCAGCCCTTTACCCAGCACTTTAGGGACACTGTAAACAGTTCCACTCCAGGGAAAAAAAACACAATTTTCTGTTTCCATCAAAAGGATTCATGGAGGAAAAAAAAAAAAAAGAAAACATATTCTGGCAGAACAGTGATAGCTTTTTGCAAGTATAAATACAATCTTCAAGAGGAAATATAACCTCCCTCCGCGGCTGGGGTCTGGGCTGCTGTGTACTCTAAGGAGCATCTATTTTCCTTCTTCACGTCGTATGCCCAGTTCAGAGCCTGAAATAACCCATGTTGATAGGAAAGGCGGGGCAGACAGACCAAAGAGACTCTTCTTTTTTTGTGAAGGGCCTAGGCTTGACAAAACTTGCCTCATAAACCGTGCAATGTGAATGAAAGGGATTTGGAGATATATATTCTATTTCTGAAATAAACCCGTGTTTTGCATGTATCAGGGGAGCCGGTGCAGTGAATTATAAGTGCTGATGTGTTTGTCAATTGATCATCTGCTTGACGGCTTCAGGCTGCTAAAGCACCCACTCTATCTTTCAAAGGAAATCTTTTCAAAGGTAATATATTTTTAAGTAGCGCCACATCAAAGATTCAGTGGAACTGCCATAAAGTACACATGTTCTGAGCCTATACTAACAGAACATATTATACTGCACCATCGTCTATTCCCCGTGCCAACCTGAAGTTTAAATAAAGTTCCATCAATCCAGCCAGACATTTTTATGAAATGTAATTAAAAATGCATCACACAAGAAGAGGAGCAAACAGTTAATTCACTCGGCACTCTAATTCAATTTTATGGAGGACCCTGGACGCCGCAGGCTTGATTGTACTCCCGGACTTCAGAAAGTAACTTCGAGAGTAGTCTGTGGGGCCCGCATCAGGTGGCTCTGGAATTCCACTGACCTGGTCACCCACTTTTGAATGCTGTCATTCCAGACACCCTTAAAGTCTAGCACACGAGGCGGCAATCGGTTTTGCGTGGAGTGATAGCACTGGCACGGCTCAGCTAATGCCCATAGATAAAGGTGACCAACCTAAATTGGAGGAAGAAGAGAACAGGATGGGAAAGAAAGGACCACAGTAAATAGAACACTCACCCTCGGAAGCCAGAGGGTATCACGCTCCTGAGGGTTGGAATTAGAACACCAGAGCCTGAGTCCTGACACCTCCCTTCCCTGGCTCTGTGACCTGGCATCTCTGGGCCTGTGTCTTCATCTGCAAAGCGGTGATGATAACGTTAGCCTACTTATCCTGCCATCTGCACGACAGAGGCAAACCTGTCTTTTCTAAGCCATCTTTTTGAGCCATCTTGGGGAACGGAACTCATAATCCTGGCCATTTTGGTCTTTAATGTTCATCTCTGCTGCCTCCACACTGTAAGATCCTGATTAAGAAAAGAAGCCAATATCTTTTCCCCCTCATTCCTGAGCTGCGCTTTGATCTTTGGAGACAGTTAAAAACAGCTGTCAAACTCTGCAAGAATTGACTTCCTTCTTTGAAGGTTTTCATGTCTTTCAAAGTGGAGAGAAAAGACTTGACAACATTTGCTTGCAATCGCAAGTACATATGTCAAATATGCCACATGGAAAAAAACAAATTAAGCTTCTGAATCTCCCGTCTTTCCTGTGTTGAGTCATGAGGCTGTCAGGCAGTCAGGACAGAAAGCCTGCAATTACTCTGAACACTCCTAAACAGCGGGCTTTGCACGCAGTGTGGGATGAGGCTCCTGTTAATAATAATTCTACCTTTCTTTGTATGTAACGCTCTATTTTTCAAAATGCGATTATCTACAACGTTTCATTAAATCTTTGGGAGAAAAAAGACTCTGTGAGATGGACAAAGCAAGTGTCTTTTCAATACCTTTTACACATGAAAAAAAGATCTCACTCCAAAGATACACTGCCAGTGAGGGCAGAGCAGGCCTCTTACCCACCCTGGCCAGTCTTCCTCCTGATACTGCTTTCAGCAGGATCTAGATTATTCCAGAGAAGCGTACCGGAAGGAGATAGCATACCTTTCTATGGAAGAAATTCTCCATTTTCTCCAACATTTACAAATAGGAAATTATTTTTCTTTTTAAAGATATACAGTCTCACTTTGTCGCCCAGGCTGGAGTGAAGTGACATGATCATAGCTCACTGCAGCCTCGAACTACTAAGCTCAAGTGATCCTCCCACCTCAGTCTCTGCATTAAGTGGGACTATAGGCATGTACCACCTATGCCCAGCTATGATTTTTTATTTTCTGTAGAGATGGGGTCTTGCTATGTTGCCCAGGCTGGTCTCAAACTCTTAGACTCAAGCAGTCCTCCCACCTCAGCCTCCCAAAGTGCTGAGATTACAGGTGTGAGCTGCCACACTTAGCCCAGGAAATTATTTTTCATCTCCAACCAAAATTCAGCTATAATTCTAGCCATTCCTCAAACTAGTTTGGATGGAAACTCAAAACAAGGGTTCCATTTTTTTTTGAGACAGTGTAGCTGTATCACCCAGGCTGGAGTGCAATGGCGAATGGCACGATCTCGGCTCACTGCAACCTCGCATCCCGGGTTCAAGCAATTCTCCTCCTCAGCCTTCTGAGTAGCTGGGACTACAGGCACACGCCACCAAGCCCGGCTAATTTTTGTATTCTTAGTAGAGATGGGGTTTCACCATATTGGTCAGGCTGGTCTCAAACTCTTGACCTCAGGTGATTCACCCGCCTCGGCCTCCAAAAGTGCTGGGATTACAGGCATGAGCCACCCCGCCCAGCCAAGAATTTTAAAAATATAATAAATCCCTCTACGAATCTCATCCACTCCCATCCTTTTCCACCTCCACCCCCGACCCATACACACATACACAACTGCTGCTAACATTAAGAAAAAAAGAAAAGTCTTTTCCGAAAAATATTTGCTTCTCATTGCCTGAACCCTGAAGTGGGCTTCCAGATGAAAGCTGGCAGGAGCAGACGCAGCCTACTTCTGGAGACAGCTCTTTATTGCCACTGCCTCACAGCGGTAAAAACCGGTAGATGAGACAGAAAGGAAGATAGACCCTGGGAAACAAATTGCCTTCATGAAAATTATTTATCTAGCTATTTTTTTTTCCCCCCTTTGGAAGGGGAGAGGATTGGCTGTGTTTACAAAACCTGGTGACTTTTTAAAGTGATTGTTTAGTTAGCAGCTTCCGACATCAGCTGCGGAGGTGCTAGATCACTTTAAGGATGTAAAAATTCTCAAGGAGAACCCAAGGTGATGCTAATAACAGCTGTCAACCTGCAGAGAGGTAATTATAAAGATGTGATTAAAACAAAGCAAAGCCTTCAAATGTTATAGCCGGCTTCACTGAAACACCAGGGGATAGGCTATAGTGAAACCAGCACACCCCCTGAATAAACCCCAGTAAAGATAAGGACCAAAGAGAAGCCCCCAAGTGGTCCCTGACTCAGAAACACGCACCCACTAGGGAGCACCCGCGCACAGTGATGCTGCCGTGCTGTCTGGAACCGGGCTGGGAGCAGGCAGTTAGGACGCTGCTTCCCAGCCTGCCTGATCTTCAGAGTCAGCTGCTTGATAATTTGCAGATTTCCAGCCCTTCCCCCCCAGAAACAGATCTACAGCCAAGACTAAGAGCCTGCGTTTTTAAAGAGCACTTGTTCCTGTCTCTCCGTCTCCCCCACAAGCAATTCTTTTCATCAACCACATTTGGTAAAGACTGGTTTAGGGTAAAGGCTCCCAGGTGTGGGCTAGCCTGAATAATAACCACTGAAAGCTTTGAGATTGTGACGGAGGTTCTCAACCTGGAAAGTGAGTGACTGAAGCTCTGATTCAGTAGCACTGGAGTACAACCCAGGGATCTGTACTTTAACAAGCACTGTGGGTGAGATTGCAACAAGCAGGCTGCCGTCCACACTTACTGCCTACATCATCGCCAGGCCAACAGCCTCCAATCAAGGCATACCTGAAGCCTTCCCTATTCCACTATTCCAGCATTCCTCTGCTTGCATATGAGTCTTTGCCAAAACTCGGGTCATCATGGCAGGCTCCCTTGCTATAGCAAGCTCTGAATAGATTACGCTTTTCTCATGTCTTCATTTGTGTTCACAAATCCTAACCGCACCAGAGGTTCACAGCATATCCTAATGATCAGAGCTGACCAAGCAGACCCTCTCTGCCCTGAAGCTTTTGCAGGCAAAACTCTGGGACCAGACTAACTCCAGAAATCCATGGGATTTCAGTGGATCCTCTCAAAGGGCTCAAACTGACCCAAGGAAAGGTAAATGTCTTTGAGCCATAAAGCATCCTGGAACAGAAAGTCAGGGGCTTTGGAGTCAAACAGGACTGGACACATACCCAGGTTTCAACCACTTTCTTGCTGTCTTAGGGCCTGACCCCGCAAAGTGTGGCCCCTGCCAGACTCACAGGATTGACATCACCTAAAAATTAGACAATACAGAATCTCAGACCCCACCCAAGCCTGCCGAAGCAGAATCCGCACTTTCCCAAGATTCCCAGGAGATTCCTGTGCACTGACTGAGGCTGTTCATTAAGCATCACTGAGGCCCAGTTTCCTCATCAGGAAATGGGAGAAATAATATCTTCCTTATAAGATGTCAAGAAAAATGGCAGACCTGGAACACCGCAGACATTGAATGAGAAGGTTGGCTCTTTCTCTCGGCTTCCCTTTCTGGGCCCCGTCTTCCTCCCTCCATTACAAGAACAGAAGATTTATGGTCATTTCTCCCTTTCTTTTCCTAATGGCAGAACTAAGTTGTAATAAAAGGGAAATGCTTTAGGCAAGAAAGCATTCTGCTCCCCTGTAAATCATCCCCACTCCAGCCTCAAAGGTCAGAGGAGTAAAAGGGAGGGAGCAGCCACAAGGAGAGAAGAGCTTCTGGGTTTTCTTCTCTGTGTGTATTGAGCGGGTGGTTGTCAAAGCACATGGGGAAAGGGGAAGGCAGCTGGAGAAATGACAGGTCCCAAACAGAACAGCTCCCAGTTTTCATGGCCTTATGCTAAGTACTTTATATGAATGTTCTCATCTGGGCACGGTGACTCATGCCTATAATCCCAGCACTTTGGGAGGTTCAGGTGGGCAAATCACGAAGTCAAG